CTTTTCCCTCCATCCCAAATGCCAAACTTCTCCTCCATCCCAAACTCCACCTTGGAGACAACTTATTAGTAGTACTTCTTAATTCCTGATAATGACATAATAAAGACCTGTTTTATTATATTTTCTGGTTACTACCAAATGTATATTTCAGATTTTAGTAGTCCATGAAAAATCTGCAAAACCTTGTTGTCAAGAGAAAACAGTGACTCAGAGAAAATAAGAGACTGAGCGCTCTTTCATATTGCACAAATGTAGTACTTTATTCCCCTTTAACTATCATGGCAGTACTGTATGAAAGTTACACAGCATGGTGTAGTGGTTTGTGTGTTGCACTGTGACTCTGGGAACCAGGGTTCGATTCCCCACTTGGCCATGAAGCCCACTATGTGACTTTGGGTATGTCACATGCTCTCAGCCTCAAATGAAGGCAATAACAGACCTCCTCTAAACAAATATTTCCAAGAAAAACCCATGTAGATTCGCCTCATGGTCACTGTAAGTTGGAAATGACTTGAAGGCACACCACACACACACACACACACACACACACACACACTATGGAATCCTGGGATCTGTAGTTTGGTGAAGCTCTATAGTTCTCTGGCTGAGAATTCTAAATAACCCTCTCTAAATTATTAATCTCAGAATTTCCTAGAAAGTTGCCGTGCAGTTAAAGTGGAACCATAGCATTTAATTGTATAGTATGAAAGGGCCCTGAGAGAGGAGGAGAAAGGGCAGAGAGAGAAATACCGGTACTTCTGAAGTACTTTGGTTCTTTAAAGTACAGCGGGGCCTTGGTATCCAGTGGGGTTTGGTTCCATGATGCCCCATAGATAGCAAAATCTGTGGTTGCTCAATCCCATTATATACAATGGGGTAGGAAAATTGTATCCTTTATCTCAAATAGCAAAATCAAGGTTTACTTTTCGAAATTTTTCTTATATTTTAAAGCCATGGATGGTTGAATCTGTAGATAAAAAATCCATGGATATGGAGGGCCAATTGTACCATATGACACAGTCTACTCAGAGAAAGTCATTTTAAAGCTTTGTTGCTTTTAATGGAAAAGGTAAGCATGTGCTGAAATATCTTGGAATGAAATAAATAGAACTTAAAAGTACAAAAGGCAGGCTTATGTATACTAGTTTTTAAAGAGTTTATATATGATGATAGAATCATTGGGCTTATACAGGTAATCAGATTTCTCTCACTGAAACTAGTGTCCATTACATTGCTTGTCATTGGTTGTCCATTATTATTTGTGGTTACTTTTTGTTTCCAGGCTCTTGCCCTGGCTAGGAAATCTAGGAAGAGAACTGAAGAATGTGGCTTTGACCTCATGATCCTCTTCCACCTGGCCCTCATAGTTGTCTGTAAAGGAAATATTTCCATGGGTACAACTGTGGCTGTGGAGATCTCTCTTCTGCTCTACAACACCAACCTGAAGGTGTTACATAAAAGCAGGATAACAGGGTGCCCATACTTGTTAGAGAACCCCTGAACCACAAGGCAAAGCTAGGAATTATCTGAGCAAAGTCAGCCGCTCAAGTATATGATTGAAAGTGAGAGTTGTGTGTTTTGGCCCTGCCAAACACTTTGCCACTGTGAGTGACATGTTTAGTTAGTGCTCTTGAACATGAACAGAATGCTCCATGCTGTTGGTGATCCTGATAAATCAGGTCTTGATTACACAGGTGCTTTCTATTTAAATTCAATTAAAAGTGGGTTGAACACCTGTTAGTAACTTACCATGTCATAAGTCTTCTTTATGACATTTCAACTCATTTTTTAAATCATTATGTACATTGAAATTTTGATCCAGCCATGCAACACTGAAAAGCTCTCACAGCCTACCTTGTCACCCATGTAGTCTCTCCCCAACATAGCTATTTCCATGTTGTTGAAAAGTGATAGGATGAGCCTTGGCATGTCCAACTATTTCCATTTTAGCAGCACACTCTGCAAAGATGGCCTCTTCAGGGACTTCCCAAAGATTGCAGGTGCTTAGTGCAGCATGTCCAGTTAAAGGCCAATAGCTGAGTACATTGCTGCTGGTCCCTCCACTCTCTGACAATATGGAAATAGCTTTATGAGGTGGGGAGCTGTGCAAGACACTTATGTCTCTCAATACAGGATTTCAGCCATAAGTAGAATGTCTCTCCAGAATACGCTCAAGATGGGGAATCCACAGAAGGTGTGGGTGTGGATTGGTAGGCAGCCATTGGGATACATGGAGCAGAGATAATATGGACAATCCATTCCTCTATCCATTAAAGCCATCAGACATTCAGGCATTCAAGGCCTGAATTCCACACTAGCCACAATGACATAGAACTGAGGGATGGGGGAACTTACATGAGAAGATCAGGAAGGAAAGATCAATTTCTTCTGTAAATCCTCTT